AAATTGTAGTGTTATTTGTGTTTTAAAATAATTCAAATTCTATTTGAATAGAATATTATAATTAAAATATTTGTATAGATAAAATTGCTTTGAAATTGCTTGCTGTGTAATTTGATTAAAATTGTATAACACCTAAAAAATCAATTATATTGAAAATTGTTTTATTGCAAAGATCAATTAAATAATATTATTTATTAAATATATATTTTTCATTTATTTAATTTTTATGATTTTTCAGTTATTAATAAACATCAAGTAAATGTTAAATTTATTAATTTTTAAACAGGGTTTTTATATTCTATTACTCGTTTTTATTCTTGAATCGATAAAACAAAATATGTATGTAATAAGTTATTTTGTATTTGAGATTACTATACACATTTATCTGAGTAACTTCTCCAATGATTTAATTGTATTTTTTCTCCTGTATAAACATCATCTATATCCTATTGCTTCTTAACTTTGATCTACGAATGGAAAATACATGGTTTTAACGTATTATAAATGTCTGTATATAAAGTACCACATATTTTCGTCCAACAAATTTAAACATTTTTGATGGTTTAAAACCAAACTTACCAAAATTCAAGTTGGATGATCGCTTTAGTACAAGCGTATAATCTCATATACATAAACGTAACTTGAGCTTAAATATTGAGAGTGCTGAAATTGCTGAAAATAGAATTGATGGTATTTCATTATTATTATTATTATTATTATAGATAGATCTAAAAAAAACTAAGGATGTTAAATTTGAACTCAGGGGTGTTAAAGACCGGTTTGCGTCAACTAGTTGCTGCTAAGTTCGCATATAAGATCAGCAGTTTTTTTTTTTTTTTTTTGTTAAGTTTGGCCGAAGGGTTCGAGTTTAGTTACTGTACGGTCGGATTTAGAAATACAAGAAAAATATTCGAAGAGTCAATTAAATTTTTCGAGGGAGCTAAATTATCTCCCAATTTCCTTCAACCTTCATTGGTATAGTATTATTGCTATTAATAATTGTATCTGTATTATTTACATATCTTACATGATTTAAGTGTTATATTTACTATAATTTTATATTCGTGTATACTTAAAAGTTAGTTATTTTTATGAAATCAAAAATCAATTGAAGTAAATATTTTATTTTTATTCAGTACAGTAAAACATATTGTCATTTGACAAATATAAGGAACGGCGAGTAATTATATATAAGTGTTGACACTATTTTCAGATACTGTTGAGCGTAAGTAAATAAGTACAAGTGTTTACTTTTTTCAAAATTATTTATTTTTCTTGATAGTTACGGTATATTATGTCTTAGTATAATACTTTCAATCTTCACTGACTGATAATTCAAAATATACAATTATTCCATATTGTTTGAACTTATTTCTTATGGATAATATATGTATGTACATATGTGTTATGTGTGCTTTACATATTTGTTAAAGAGAAGAAAGTTAGGACTTTTTTTCTACAATGATATATGATAATGCTGACAAACAATGTGAGCATGTGTCAAAGATAATTAACACCCAGTTGATCATCCACGAATCTCCAGCAGGGCCTCGGAAAAATAAGAAAGTAGATTCTCTTGTTTATTTCTTATGGAATTGAATTTTTTTTTATTATTATTACCTATCTAATTTCAATATGGAATACTATAGGCCATAGCCTATAAACGAATTTTATTGATTTTTATTTTTAGTCATCTAAACTATACTGGAGGATATGCATTCAAACTCTTAAGTAGCTCATATAAAACAGTTTTAATCTATACTGTTCAATTTTTATAAAAATATCATTTTTCCTTAGCTTGTAGGCCATTATACATATATGTATATTGTATAAACGGCATAGAATTTCATGAATTGAAATGTTTAAAAATATTGGACCATTTTATTAGATTTTTTTTTTTTGTTTATATTTCATTACAAGTAATTTTAATATACATATTATTTTAAAATAAATATATCATTGGTTAAAAAGTAACCGAATGAATATCGTGCATGGAAAGGACTCTTCATTATTTTTAATGTAATATTGTATTAAAAAGTATATTTATAAAAAAAATGTATATTTGTAAAAATAAATATATATTCTAAATCAGTGGTGCCCAACCCGTGGCCCGTTAGATTTTTTTAAAACGAAACAAAATGTTAAAAAAAAAAGTAAAATTATTGTAAAATACGATTTTTTTTCTTAATTTATTAATTTTATTTTCGATAATTTTCAAATAGAAATTTAACGATATAACCCGTGCACTTAAAAGAGCGTACTGATCAAATCTATGTATACATACGTGTATATTGAATACCTAATATGTGTAACCAAATAACATTATAAAATTGATATTGATATTATTCGTACTTTTATACTTGGTGGCCAGCTCTAGGATAATTTTTTATCAAAGTGGCCGCTGAGAAAAAAAGGTTGGACATCAGTGTTATAAATGGACTCACCCAAGTGCATTTATATGGATGTTGGTCCAGTGTAGGAGAATCAGATAAGGATCGTGTGTCCGAAAGTACTCTTTTCACAAACACCTGTGATTTATAAAAAATATATATATATCGTATGAAATTGTATATAAATTAAGTTAGAAGAAAGTAATGGATTAACGAATCATAATACCGATTTAATATTATGATAATACATGTGAAACAATTAAAATTTTAGAATCGTTTAAATGGTGAGATCTTAACGATTTTTTTTTTTTGTTAATCCTATATGCTACATATTAACGGTAAACTTTCACCTAAGACATTGTAAAAAAATCAGAGCAATCTTCTTCCCTTCTCAGATTCCTATTATTGCTTAATTTAATTTTGATTATATATTACGCTCCATTAAATATCAATTAAAACGGTATTTCACTTAATTCTAAATAACCCAATATAATTAAGTCTTCACATACCTAGATTTCTTAGATTAAAATTTTTATTAACAAATTACATTCCTAGTTAAAAAAAAAAAACTAGGTTGTATTTTACTTTGACGATTTCAATAAACACCTACACTAGTATCAGGATATAGCCAAATCCGGATGTTTAAAACATTTCGCCCTTGAGTTCATTATTTTTTACTTAATTTTATACCGTGGGATGCATAATTTTTGTCACGATGTTGAAACGCTCCTATTATTGTTTGAACAAGTTCTAGTTTTAGTTGAAAGGATTAATATTTTTACTTTCTAAAATTAGTAATTACTAATAATTCACAAAAAAATTTTTTTTTTAAGCTACCGACTGGAAAGATTTATTATTTCTTCTGCATTCGTGTGTCTGGAATTTAATAATTTATTGTGTATTGTACATTAAATAATAATAAGACTTTTTTATTTTAAATGGTAATGCTAAATTTTATATCAATCATTTAATTTTAAAAATGTATTTTGAATTATAGTCAATATTTAATCTAAAATACTATAATTTAGATACCGGTAATAAAAAAGTGTTAAAACAGTGTAGAGTTCAGAGATTGTTTAAAAAACATTTTTAGATGTTAAAATTGGAAGATTGATTAAAATTACAAATATTTTTCAATAATTTTCTTATAAAAAAAAAAAAAAAATGTTAAGAACATTTATATTATTACTTTTTGAACACCCGTTGGTGTTCAGAAAGTTCAAAAATTAAATATGATGATAATGTCATAGAACTTGTTTTTTAATTTAACTTGTATAATTCATTAGCGGATACTATCACTATTATATTTAAAATATTTAAGAATCTACAAAATTTAACATTTGATTATTGCATAGATTGTGGACTGTAGCGTGACGTAAATTATTTATTAAATCATAGTATTCTTCTTCACATTTCAAGTTATAATAAACGTCTGCAATTCCATTATTCGGCGGTAATATCATTAAAATTTGAATGACATGTCACGTGACAATTATTCACTTAGTGATCGTGTCATACAAACGTAGATATCAAAGCTTTCTATTCTATCGTTTAAATTTACATAATTCATGATCAGAAATGAAACAGCTGAATTTTATTCATGTAGTTAAAAATAAAGGGAAAATATAAGGGAAGGTTTTGCACTTCAAACTACCTAGTACTTAAAAAATTGCTAACACCGCGACATTTTAGTATTTATATGATCAGCATATAAATATTTTGGTGTGTTTCTGAGAGAATCATCAATTTTTTTCGATAACTCTGTAAAATTTACTAATATGAACCTAGAATGATTTTGCTCGAAATATAATTGTTATAAGCAATACAAACCGTATAATTAATTGTACAATCATGCGCTTAATGAAATAAACAATTACGTTTTTAAACGAAATATCGAGTATATTATAATTTTTTTTTCTCAATGTTTATACTTTTATTTTTCTATGTTTGTTATTACTTATTAGTCATAAACAATTTAAAATAAATGAATGTTTAATAGCTTTGCAGTAGGTATTTAGTATTATGTATGATTGGCATAGTAATTATTGGTATGGTATGCATCGTTAAAATATTTGGTTTTACTATTTATATATTTAAAATAAATTACGATTTCTTCTAATATTTAAAAAAAAATGTGTTGAAATAAATATGTACAATTTTTATTATAGATTTTTGTTCGTTATTCTTATGATTTTAAAAAACTTGTTTAGACATTATATTGACGCAGTCTGTAGTGAGTTCCTAAAAAAAAAAAAAATCGATTGGATTATTAGAAACAAAATATTGAACTTCGACCGTTGATCGTTATAAAGTTATGGCCCGATAATAATCCATGCATGTTTATCGCACTCAAGATGAAAAATGTTCCGATTTATTCGAAAAATCAGTTAACCGTGCAAAATATTGATGCCGTGCGCTTGCGTTGATAATTTTAAATATTATTGCCAGAATCGTGACACGGGTCTGTGGCATGTGCAATGGAAGCAATCGTGTAATGCGGGGAAACGTCATTGGTTGTTTACAATTCTCCGCGTAGTAGGAGCGTGTTCGGCGCGCGCGCGATTACGGTGCTCGCCGACGACGCCGTAACTAGTGACTGGTAAAACGTGCAAGTACACAGAGAAGTCCGAGAGCGGTATTCAGTTTCACGCGCGGTACACGTGTTCGCGTCCGTTACGGCGTTTATAAATTATTCATGTGGTGATGCGTCTATACATCCGTTTTTATATGACGTGGACCTGCTATACGGTGTTAAATTTGATTTCCTAATTTGATTTGAATTTTAATTGTAATATAATTTTATTTTACGTTTTTGTTGTATTTACCGTTTTTCATGCTGATAAAAGTTATTTGAGTAAAAATATATATGAGTAAAAATAATCAAAATGTACGTGCCATTGATTGCAATTATGAATTACGATTTATGAAAAATAATTATCACCCGAGCCGACCGCAAAAATGGTACGTTTCCTTATTAATTTTTTTCATTCGTGGTTACAATCAAATTGTGAAAATATTTTCATCTGGAAATTATGACTGTTAGGTACACTTGATAGTTATTATTCCTGTACTTTTATTGTTTTAATAAAAATCAATTCTTGACAACTAAATATCGAAAACTGTTGAACATATTATACCTATTTGATAATTAAATATTAATTTTCGAAATTCTGTTGATAACTTTAAGTACAGTACTGGACTAAATAGTTGAGTGGTTACTTAATTGTGTAATGTAATCGAATGAGAGATTGACGATAAGATTATAATATTTGTTTTTAATTATATATAGTTTTTCTTTTATTGTGACATTATATAAGCCACATAAATGCTTAAATTGTCAAAATAGTAGTACGAATGAATCCAATTCACTTCATATATATGGGTATTTTAAGCTAATTTTCATTTGGATTTTTGTAGCATATTCATTAAAATAAACTAAAAGTACGTTCTGCTTTTTCGTTTCTTTTATTTTCTAAGTTGACACACAAATAATATTTATGTATCATATATGTAACATAAAAAATATAATTATTATCAATTTAATATGATATATAATGTAATTATTATTATAGACTTATCTTGATACTAATAAATAATACCAATTTACGAATATTAATTTTTATACTAATGAATGGTTATAATATGTATTATTTATATTATTTAATTGAAAATTATTTATCGGTATGACTGTACTTATAGACTTTAATATTTAATTATTAACAGTCATAACCACATTAATTACTAGTTTTTTCATTGTGTACATACATTTAAACCTAAAATAAATCAATTTTACCAGCCGCTTTTTTCTTATAGTGATAAAATATATTCAATTTACTAGTATATTTGTTAAAATAATTTGTTTTTTTATCCATTAAAACCGTTTGATTAGACACTTAAGTTTTGATTTTTAATGTTTATTTCAGGAACTTTATAAAAATATTAATTCTTATTACAAATAAGAACCATTTTTAAAGTAACTGTATTAATATTAAATTTAAATAGAAGTCTTCTTTATAAGTTTTTGTTAACATATAACATAAAAAACATAACAACAAAACACTATTTAATTATAACTAAGTATTTTGTATAATATTTATGTATGATATTTCAAATAATACATTTTATCATTGTTATATGATTTATAATAAATGTCATGCTTGACAGAAATGTGAATTTTGAATAAAATATAGATTCGTATTTATTTGTGCATTCATATGACGATAATTTTATCTATTGCCGTAAAAGATAACAAACTTATTTCTAAAACTAACACGAACCCTGTCTATTGTTAGGGTGTGTATCTATATAGTTACTATTTCCCCCAAAATATGTCAAGTTTCATCATTATCAATGTGTTGAGCTCTTAAGAATATTAAACTCTCCCCTTTTGACCGAAAGTGTCTCTCTCGTGAGCTAATACTATGTTTGTTACCCTTGTAACTAAATAAAGTTTATTACCTCAATAGAAGTTGACAGATTTGCGTGATTAGGACCAACTATTGATGATAGGTACATATTTATTTTATATTTTAGGTTGTAATTGCTTGGTATATTTTTATATTATTTAATAAAAACGAATATAAAATAAATCAAATTTTAATATAAATTATAAGGAAAACTAAAAAGTAGAAAAAATGGTATTTACTTATAAATATATTGAAATTATTAGTAATGGAATTAATAAATACAAATTTTAAAAATAATGTGAGTGAAAGTAAGGATAAAGGCTAATAGTGATTGAAATTCTGTCAAGAAAAAAGAGAAATATGAACCTTACTAAGTAAGGAGTTAGGGTAGAAATGTCATCTATCTACAGCTATAATTGTAAATGCTTGATGTTACGAGATATCATTGGTAGTAGGTTTTATGTAGATTCGTATTGGATTATTGCCTAATTAAATATATAATCGATGTGTTGTGTGTTACGATTTCAGAACATTAATAGATTTTTTTTTTGTATTGTCTTTAAATTTGAATTGTGATGTTTTTTTTTTTTTTTTTTATTCGCATTATATTTATAATTGTGGTTACCATTCTTGTAAGTATAGAAAATGTATTTGGTAGGTTTTTGGTATTTATCAATTTATCATAGTGGTTAATACAAAACTTTATTCAACAGATAAACCACAAGTGTATGTTTTATGTCTATACAATTGGTGATACTCGTTCTTTTTATTTTGTTTTCTTACTAAAATTACAAGTATTTTTAAATTATATATTTTAATTTCCATGGTTGATTAAGAAAAAAATAGGTATTAAGATAAAACCTTACATTAAAGTCATTGAGTTTGTAGTTATTTTATATATTATAATTTTATATGTCTTAAGTATAACGATGGACAAATGATATATATATAAAGCTTTAGTTATAGTGTACATACTTTCGCTTTCTAGAATTGTTATATTTAAAGAGGCATAAGAAATTAATTTGTGAGGGGAGATTATATAGAGTTAAACAATTGCTATGTAATCGATCTACATCTAAGGTGAATGCCGTCTCGGTGGTACACTACCGTGACATCTAGATTCATCCACATCAAAATTTCACTGATCACGATCACGGACTTGTAATTGAATATTCGTTTCTTGTTATTATTATTTTACTTATGAGAAAAAGTCTTCTCTTTTAAAACATCCATGAGGGCTAGGAATTTTCATTTTTGTACAACTAAACAAATTATTATGAACAGTAATAATATATAATGTATAAATGTATAGCATGTAATTTACACATTATTTGAATTCAATATTTCAATTATATGAGGGCTGTTGGTGTGTGCATAGGGGATGAAGAAAATCGAGGCGAGTGGAGGTTAAGGGCAAGGGTGGCTGATCCCAAATAGTTGGAAGATAGGCGAAAGAGAAAAAGATTTGAAATCAATATTTTAGTGAGTTATACTTCAAAAGTCCTAATATTATAAATAAATAATTTATTTTTTATTCCTAATCTAATATGAAAATATTACACTTACTATTTATAGTATAGTATTTATACTATTATACCTACTATTTTTATTTAGGAAATAGCAAATTAGTGTATAGTATATTCTAAGTTATAAGAAAAAGTAGTAAAAATGTAATTTTTATTATAATTTGAAAAAAATATAATAAAAATTAAATGCATAAAGGATTGTATTTTTATTCATTTACAGATTAGAGATGATATGTAGCTGTAACCTCTATATTTTTTATTTGTATATGAAATTGGAATAACAATTAATTCAGCCTAAAATCTTAAAAATGTATTTATTTCATATTTTATTTTATTGTTATAAGAAATAATATAATATAATATAATAAAATATAATATAAAGTATTTTATTTTATGATTTAATATATAATTTATATAGTTAAGTGACAAATGTTTAACCTTTTTTTTCAACTCAGTAAACTATTATTTATAAATTATATTTAAAAGTCTTATTTAAAATTAATCATTTTTATTTTATAGTAGGAGTCTAGGATTGGTCGGTTAGGTGTGGGTTGTTAAGCTGTTGTTAAGGCGTTGTTGTGTTGACTAATACTCTTACTAATATGGAAAACGACAGGATCAAAAGTTGTGTTGCGGCTACGGGTCCACACCTATTTATTTTTATAATATGATCCATCGAAAAATATATTATTTCACCAATAACAATTTGTTAAGGAATCATTTGCGCATAATATACTCTTCGTACCTAGTGTATATATATATATATATGTATGTATGTATATGTCTGTGTATGTGTGTGTTTTTTTTTGCTAACAAAAGAAGTGGGCTCAGTATCATTAACATGCTACAATGCTATTATGAATAAATACTGTACGGTGGCTACATGGTATGTATTCTCTTAGAAAAGAAAAGGATGTCCGTTGCCATCCCTGTACGCTCGATAATTTTATCTTCTGTGCGTGCTAAACAGATATTACAATAATACATTGTTATGATGTACCTTTCGTATCGTGCGTCAACTGAAAACTTTTGTCAGTAGTGGTTGTATTTTCAATTAAACATGTCCAACTAATCTTATCATTATTGTTAAGAATTATTATATAGCTCGTCGTTATCCCTCAATAAATTTTACATTTAAATAGTGATGAAAAAAGTAATAGTTTAATAATACTAATTAGCAAGGCTCGGGACTTATAGTACTAAGAATCATAAATATAAGCACTTAAAAAAGCGCTTAAAAACATCATTATAAGCACTAAAATAAGCATTTAAAATATTTGAAACTAAGCAAAAATATTTATTAAAAAAAAAAAAAAAAAAAAAAACTATAAAATTCTTACTAAAAAATCAAACACAATCAAAATAAATCTACACTTTCAATACTTTAAGAATTTTATAGATTTTCTAAGGCGTTTTCTGAAAAATAAAATGTAAACTGTTCTCTCTGTTCTTGATGTTTTATTTTCAACGATGGAATATCTTTGTTAACCATACACCGATGCCTTAGACGGCGATGAATTACATGACAACGTAGATAAGATGAGAATCATTTTTAAATTTTAATTCTATCAAAAAAGACTTTACAGGAGAAAACTAAAAAAATGTAAAAAAAAAACTGGTCAAATAAGCAAAAATAATCAGAAAAGCTGGAAATAAGCATTTTTTTGAAAAATCGCTGAAAAAAGCAAAAAAAGGCACTTTCAAATTTCATAATTGTACGTGTTATAACTTGGCATACACTTCTATAGCACTCTGCTACATTTTAAGTTAATCCATAAAAATAAGCAAATGCTTTAACTCCCGAGCCCTGCTTATTAGTTATAATCGAAAAAACGGATTTTATCAAATATCTATGATATTCTATTATTTTGCCAATAATTAAGTGAAGTAAAGCAAGTTTCAAACCAAAAAAACTATCTGTTTGAAGAGCTTTTTTCATGTAATCGAAAACATTTAAAAACCCACCATTTTATCTTATATGTGTGATTAAATTTGCAATAAAAACGAAAACATTTTTCAAAGGTAGAAT